ACTCACTGAGCCACAGGCACCACCCCAAACCTAATACTACATATAATTATCAGTGGCCCTACTCACTGAGCCACAGGCACCACCCCAAACCTAATTTTCTAAAAAGATTAATTAGACAAATCTCGGACTAGTCTCATGAAAAAAAGAAAGAGAAAATTCAAACATACTTGTATACCTTAAAAATATAAAAGTTGATTTCACAGTTTATACAGAGATTATTCCTAAAATTGTAACAAACTGTAATATGGTAATAAATGTGAAAATTTGAAGGAAGTGGATTATTTTCAAGGAAGATTTAATGGGCCAGACTGACTCAGGTAGGAAACCTGAGTAAATAACCAAAGAAAAGATTGGAGAAAAAGTCAAAGATAGGAGAGAACAGGGTTTGAGTTAGTTAGAGATGGTTTTATAGATGAGTTCTATAAAACTTCAAGGAGCAGATAATTTCTATGATATTCTATGATATTGGCAAACTTTTCATGTACAAGGTCAGACCTTTAGGCCCAGGGGTCATGTGGTCTGTCACAGCTACTGAATCTGTGCATCTAATCTGCTGTTAGAGTGAAATCAGCCATAGACAGTATGTAAATGAATGGGCAAATAGGTTAATGTGATGTTTTGCATTACTAGGTTAGAGAGAAAATACTACATATAATTATCTTAATAGATGATTTTAAATACATCTAATAAAAAAACTCTTAGTAAACCAGGAATAGAAGGATGTTTTCTTAATCCAGGAGAATATATTCATTATAGCAATTATAATATTTAATAGTCAACCATGGAAGCATTACTAATGAAACAGGCACTAACACTAGGAGTCCCGTTACTCAGAATTTCTAATTAAATATTTAGAGATAATCCTTTTTTCTTTACCATTTTTTTTTTTTGCTCCTCATTAGTCAATTTGAGGATAATCTTAATAAATACATAAAGTATATATGAAACAAATGTAACTTTTTTTTTTCTTTTTGTAGAGACAGAGTCTCACTTTATCACCTTCGGTAGAGTGCCGTGGCATCACACAACTCACAGCAACCTCCAACTCCTGGGCTTAGGCAATTCTCTTGCCTCAGCCTCATGAGTAGCTGGAACTACAGGCGCCCTCCACAACGCCCGGCTGTTTTTTTGTTGCAGTTTGGCCAGGACTGGGTTTGAACCCGCCACCCTTGGTACATGGGGCCGGCACCCAACCCACTGAGCCACAGGTGCTGCCTCAAATATAACATTTTATTAAAAGACAAAAAAGAACACTTACATAAATGGAAAAATATGTTCCTTAGTGGAAAAACTTAATATTTTTAAGATGTCAATTCTCCCCCATAGTCATTTATCAGTTTAAGTCAATTATAATTGAAATCTCAGTAAAGCTTTTACAGAGGTGAAGAGAATATGCTTTAGAATCAGATGGTGGCTTGGCGCCTGTGGCTCAAGTGGCTAAGGCACCAGCCACATACACCTAAGGTTCAAATCCAGCCCGGGCCCACCAAAACAACAATGATGGCTGCAACCAAAAAATAGCCAGGCGTTGTGGTGGGCGCCTGTGGTCCCAGCTACTTGGGAGGCTGAGGCAGGAGACTCGCTTGAGCCCAGGAGTTGGAGGTTGCTGTGAGCTGTGATGCCATGGCACTCTACCCAGGGGGACAGCTTGAGGCTCTGTCTCAAAAAAAAAGAATCAGATGGAATGGCTCAGCACCCAGAGCTCAATGAATAGGGTGCCAGCCACATACCCCGAAGCTGACGGGTAAAGCCTGGACTGGGTCTGCTAAACAACAATGACAACTACAACCAAAAAATAGCCAGGCATTGTGGTGAGCACCTGTAGTCCCAGCTACTCAGGAGGCTGAGCCAAGAGAATTGCCTAAGCCCAAGAGTTTGAGGTTGCTGTGAACTGTGACACCAAGACACTCTACTGAGGGTGAGATAGTGACACCCTGTCTTAAATAAATAAATAAAAGAATCCGATGGAATATTGTGTTTCTATTTTTAAAATGAGGTAAGTTTCTATATTTGTCATGAAAAGGTGTTCAAGATTATTTTGTTCCATTTAAATACAATGCAGCTTATAGGAGGACAGTAGGTTGTATAGTCCGATCCCATTTTATTTAATATACATACATACACATATGCATGCACACACCGTCACACGTAATCGTAAAGAGCCCAAAGTCCACAGAGATAAACACCAAAACATTAACTGTGTACCACTTCTATAGGGAATGGTGGAAGGGAACAGATTACATTCCTTTTCTTCTTTCTATTCTTCTGTACTACCCCCCTTTTTTTCTTTTTTACAAGCATGCATTACTTTTACAATCAGTTGAACAAAAAAAAAAAAATAAAAGACTTCATTTTGTAAAAGGAAAAAAGTAACAAATGACTTCTCCTAAGTCAAATATTTAAATGCATTCAGTCTCTTAATCCTAGGATGTCTGCACGGTGTTTTTTGTTTTTTGGGTTTTTTTGTTTTTTGTTTTTGAGACAGAGTGTCACTATGTTGCCCTCAGTAGAGTGCTGTGAAATCACAGCTCACAGCAACCTCAAACTCTTGGGCTTAAGTGATTTTCTTGCCTCAGCCTCCCAAGTAGCTAGGACCACAAGTGCCCGCCACAATGCTCACTGGTTTTTTTTTTTTTTTTTTTTGGTTGCAGTTGTCATTGTTGTTTTAGCAGACCCAGGCCAGGCTCGAACCTTCCAGCCTCAGTGTATGTGGCTGGTGCCCTACTCACTGAGCTACAGGTGCCGAGCTGCCCACATGATTTATTATCCAGTAGTAAAAAACCCATGCTCACAACTTTTGTAAACGATATGAAAATATCCAATTTTTTTTTTTTTTGAGACAGAGTCTCATTCTCTTGCCCTGCTGTGGCATCATCATAGCTTCATAGCTCACAGCAACCTCAAACTCTTGGGTTCAGCAATCCTCCTGCCTCGGCCTTCCCAGTAGCTGGGACTACCAGCATCTGCCACAACACCCAGCTAGTTTTTCTATTTTTGGTAGAGATGGGATCTCCCTCTTGCTCAGGCTGTCTTGAACTGAGCTCAAGCAGTCCACTCTCCTTGTTCTTCCAGAGTGCTAGGATTACAGATGTGAGCCACCAATCCTGGCCAAAATATCATTTTTTTAAAGAATAAATCTAGACACTGGAATCAAGCCCAGTGGTCTGCCTGCCCCTCATTTCCTTTCCTGAATAAACACTCTGAAAGCTTGAGATGAAGTTTGACATCTCTGTTCTCGTGCCTTCTTGAATAGTTCCATGAAAGTTAATGGGAGTAAAAGTCTGCTGAGAAAAATTGAGGTATGAATCACTTCAGAAGTGACACTTCTCCATCTTCTGCACAGGAATCATTTAAATTATTTAAAATTTTTGCGCTGGACAGGGTGCAGGAGAAGATTTGGAGGCAGGCCGATCATTTTCACTACTTACCTGTGTGTTCATCGTAAAAACTAAAGCTCTTAGCAGCAAATGAAAAATTGCTTTCACAGCCTGACTTTTGCAGTATGAAAGCAAGGTTTTTGTTGTCTTGAGAACAGGGAATCTGAACAGTAATGGACTCTAGCCTCTGTAATGGTAATCTTCGAATCTTTACTACTGCTCTATTAGGGCGTTTGAATAGATGATCTATTAGGGCATCTATCACTTGAAATAGACTTATGGAGGAATTTCAGGGCAGTCTCAGGCCTCTGAGGTCATCCACACCCAACCTCTCGTTTTTACAAAGCAGTTAGGGCTTTTTTGACTCCATGTTCTTTGTAGGAAATTAAATCAGAATCCCTTGGGTGGCCCAGTTGTGTTATTTTATTTTATTTTTTTAAATGAGGCCCAGACGAGGCTCAAACTCCCGGCCCCTGGTTTACAAGGCCAGTGTTCTAACCACTGAGCTATGGCGCTCAGCTAGACATATATATTTTTTAAATGGCCTCTGGGCAAGTCTAGTACCGGAAACAGATCTCAGAACCATTGCCTTAGTAGGGCTAGGTGGTCACACAACAGTACAGAACCTAGTGGGAGCCAGTTGGTGTTGCCCTGGGCACACTGGCTTGAGGACAGCTTTTAAAGGAAAGAGGTGGCTTGATATAAAATGAAGTTTCAGGGGCTGGGTGCGGTGGCTCATGCCTATAACCCTACCACTCTGGGAGGCCAAGACGAGTAGATTGCTTGAGCTCAGGAGTTTGAGACCAGCCTGAACAAGAGTAAGACCCAGTCTCTAAAATAACAGACAGGCATTGTGGCGAGCACCTGTAGTCCCAGCTACTCAGGAGGCTGAGGCAGGTGGATCACTTGAGCCCAAGAGTACGAGTTTGCTGTGAGCTATGACACCGCAGCACTCTTCTCAGTGGCAACACAGTGAGTCTCAAAAACATAAAAAATAAAAATAAAAGGTATAGGAAACAAATACATCTATCAAAGAATGTCATTAGTTGGTTAGCCTTAAAAAAGAAAATTCAGGCTCGGCGCCTGTGGTTCAAGTGGCTAAGGCGCCAGCCACATACACCTAAGGTGGCAGGTTCGAATCCAGCCCGGGCCTGCCAAACAACAAT